TGAGCGGTTTATCACATATTAGTACGAAAGGGGCGCGTCGGGGAAAGAATCTGCCAGTACTACTGCACCTGCATGCTATTGGTTCCCGCGCTTTGTTCGCTCGCAAAATACAGTCGCATACACAGCTTACTTTGCGACTCGCGACGATGTTTTAAGAAGGAAGGAAAGAAAAATTATTTATATCTATTGTTTTATGACTAAACTAGTGAACGAAAAGGTAAATATGAAAGGAGAAGGTCATCATTACAGCCCTTCACAAGTCCACTGCTGAACATAAGCCTCCCCCAAAGAATGCCACAAAGCACGGTCCTGAGCCACCTGCATCCATCGACTTCCTGCATGTCTGACCAGGTCGTCACTCCATCTCGTGGGGGGACGCCCTACACTTCGCCTACCGGTACGAGGCCGCCACTCGAGAACCTTTCTTCCCCATCGGTTGTCGGTTCTTCGAGCTATATGGCTGGCCCACTGCCACTTCAGCTTACTAATCCGTTGGGCTATGTCGGTTACTCTGGTTCTACTGCGGATATCCTCATTCCTAAGTTTATCACGCAGAGAAACTCCGAGCATAGCCTTCTCCATAGCTCGCTGAGCGACCTTGAGCTTTCTCATACGGCCAGCAGTGAAGGACCACGTCTCAGTTCCGTAAGTCATCACTGGCAACACGCACTGGTTGTACAATTTCGTTTAAAGGTTTTGAGGTATGTCTGACGAGAAGATGTGTCGTAGCTTCCCGAACGCTGCCCAGCCGAGTTGAATCCGTCGATTGACCTCTCGGTCGAAGTTGGACTTACCTAGGCGGACTATTTGTCCCAGGTAAACATATTCGTCAACAACTTCGAGCTTAGTGATCCCAACAACTACCGGCATAGGTGTGACAGGGACATTAAACATGATCTTTGTTTTGTCCATGTTCATCTTAAGACCTATCCGTTTGGAAACACTATTGAGGTCATTGAGCATAGTGCTTAGGTCCTCCAGCGATTCTGCCATAAGGATTATATCGTCGGCAAATCGAAGGTAAGTGATGTACTCGCCATTGATATTGATACCATATCCTTTCCAGTCCAGAAGCTTGAAAACGTCTTCCAATGCAGCGGTGAAGAGTTTCGGGGATATGACGTCACCCTGTCTTACACCTCTCTGCAATTGGATAGGTTTCATACTCTGGTTCTGTACTCGGATAGCCATCGTAGCCCTACTGTACAAGCACTTCAACACTTCGATATACCGACAGTCAACTTGGCACCGCTGAAGGGACTGCAGCACCGCCCAAATTTCGACGGAATCAAAGGCTTTCTCATAGTCTACATACGCCAAACATAGTGGCAAATTGTACTCTTCGGACTTCTGTACAATTTGCCAAAGGGTATGTATGTGGTCTATGGTGCTAAAGCCCTTTCGGATACCGGCTTGTTCGGGAGGCTGGAAGTCGTCAAGTCTGCGCGCGAGACGATTCGTAATGACTCTCGAAAACAGCACGTAGATGCGGCTCAGAAGGGAAATCGGTCTGTAGTTCTTCAAGAGAGCGTTGTCACCTTTCTTGAAGAACAAGACCACCGCACTTCTGCTCCACGTCTCCGGTGTAATGCCACAATGGAGGACGGAATTAAACAGCTTCTGAAGGACTTCAAGTACCGGTTTTCCAACCGCTTTCAGAAGCTCCGCTGTAATTCCATCCTCGCCTGGGGCCTTGCCGTTTTTAAGGTGCTGGAGAGCCATTCTAATCTCGCTCAGACTGACGTCCGGGATATCTTCGGAATAGTGTCGGATGACACTCGCTCTTGGATCGTTACTCACCCTTGCGTGTGGCTCCAACGATGACGTGTACAACTGCCCATAGAACCTCTCAATCTCACTCAAAATCTCAGGTGTCCCGGAAACGATGCTGCCACATTCTGTCTTCAGCTTTGACAGTTGGCTCTTTCTGGCAGACAGATCTCTGGCAAAGAATTTGGAGCCTTGGTTCCGCTCGATCGCTTCTTCAATACGAGCTATATTGAAGTTGCGTAAGTCCCGCCGCATGCATTTGGAGATCTGTCTGTTCAGATGCCTGTATGCTTTCAAGTCTGTTGAAGAATCTAGCTTCATCTCCCGTCTAACAGCCATGAGATTAAGAGTGTGATCGGAGAGTTTTTGTGTTCTTCTGCGGCGGGTCTTGCAGAACTTAGCTCCGACCGCATGGACAGTTTACACGAGCTTGTCATTCATATCGTCCACTTCATTGCTGTCTTCTAGGCACTAAAAACGGTTTTGTAACTCGAGCTGAAAGTTTTCGGGACTTTGGAACAAAGCACGAGGGGGACGGAGCGTTGACTTCATTAGACAAGACCTCTCCAACTTAATGTTTAGGTTCAGTGTGCCTCTAACCATTCGGTGATTGCTACCAGTTTTCACCCTCGCGATCACGGAGATATCACTGAACAGTTGTCGTCTGGTCGTCATAATGAAGTCAATCTCATTTTTTGTCGAACCGTCGGGGCTCGACCAGGTCCACTTCCTGTGGGGCCGCTTCTGGAAGAAAGAGTTAATCATAAAGAGTCCCTCTTTCTCTATGAAGTCGGCCAGCTGCTGGCCCCTTGGGTTCCGTTGCCCTATTCCAAATTTCCCTACTTTCAGCTCACCGTTCTCTCTTGTGCCTAGTTTTGCATTGAAGTCTCCCATTAACACCGCATATTGCGTTTTGGAGGAATGCATGGCTCTAGAGATATCCTCATACATTTCCTCCACCTCCTCATTGGGGTGTGCCGAGGTTGGTGCGTAAACCTGTATGACCTTCAGCGAATACCGTTTGGTGATTCTGAGTATAAGGTACGCAACTCTCGTCCACACACTCCCGATCTTTACAACGTTGTTAACGAGAGACTTGTGGACGATAAATCCGACACCTCCTTGGGACAGATGGTCGCCCTCCCGGTGATAGAGCAAGTTGTCGGATTCAAGGATTACCGTGTCCTCTCCCTCTCTTCGGACTTCGGATAAACCTATAATATGCCAAAGCATCTTGTCTATCTCTTCTTCCAGCTCCACGATCTTCTCGTCATTCCTCAGGGTGCGTGCGTTGTACGTTGCCAGGTCGAGTCGTTGTAGGTGGCAACCGAACCTCCACCGGAGATTCTTAGCACCCCCTGCCCCGCCGTTATCATGGTCGCCACCTTAGCCAGGAATAGCGGGGCCGCCGGGGACTGGGGGCCGTCTCTTCGTAACTTTCATCATGGGGGTATATTGCCATAGTTGCCACGCTTGGCGAGCGGGTTCGCAACCGCAGTTTTTTTTTATTGTTAGTTTGTTGTTATCAAGAAGATGTTGCTGCCCATCTCCTGCCTGTTTCCCTTTGTCGCCTTTTACGATACCCACGGGAGGATATGTGGTAGTTGATATTCTTGACCGCCACTACACGGCATAGGAAAAGGTGAATGGGAAAAATTGTGCAGTAAAGTTAAAAGTGTTGAGGAAGAATATCGAAAAAATTACCATGTGATCGACCTGATGACAGAAGCTCAAGCGAAGATGAAAGTGATGATGAAGTAGCATCCAGTTACACCAACACACCATCAACATCTGGCTTCCATGTGACCCAAGACGTCATAATGGACGGCGTGTTCCCCTTAGCTTAAGTTTTCTTGTTACAGACTACTTTATATTTTACGATAGAAATAACAAATAATGCTCAAGTAAACATTATCCATTTTTAGTTCCCACCTCTTCCAAAGTTCTAAGTAGCTAGTAAAACACCTATTATGATTCTACAATAGAACAATTAATTACTATAATATTATAAAACAATAGCCCAATACCATGTAGTACTTTAGAACGCGACTGTACCCACACTCCCTCCGCTGCGCTGGTGACCTGTATCTAGCTCGGTACGAAACCATACTGCGGTCATAAGAAAAAAGGGCGCATCTAACAATTTTTGAATAAATGAGCTAAATCTACCATTCGACTCATGATAAGAAGGCGCATCTACTAATTTTTTTAATATTCACAAATGTCAATATTTTAGAAATTATCGTAAGAATTTTTGACGTAACTGTTGATCACTGATGACATTTTTTTAGTAGAAAAGACTTATACAAATTCAACATAAAAGAAAAGACTTATTTAACCAGTTGCTATGTCATCTTTAACAATATTTGCACCGATTACTTAAATTTCAATTATTCTTGTATTATTATTCTATATCTTATTATTAAGAGCTTATATCTTATTATTAAGAGCTGATGTTTCACATGTGGTCCCATATAAATTTGATCGAGGTCAGACCAATAGTTTTTGAGTTATCCTTAATTATTTATATTAAAGTCGGTTGTACAAAATTTTTAATTTTTAATTATTATCGTAGTAAGTCTTGTATGATATCCCCTTTAAAATCATTACTCAAGAGTTGCGGGTTGTTATTTTTTGTGTCTCACTACCAATGCTTTTCTACTATTTACTAAGAAAAAAAGTAGTAAATTACTATTAGCGTCCTTTCAACTTCAAATGACCTTTCCAAAATATGTAAAAATGTTAAATGAATGGCAGTTTTTTTATTTATTAGGTTAGGAAGACGCAAATGGTTATATGCGTCTTTCCTTCGATGTTTTTGTGTTACCAGGTGTATTTTTTAAGCTAAGATGAAAAGGAAAATTCGTTTTATTTAAATAAATAAACAAATTATCAAAAAAATAAGTTCGTCCTTAAAATCTTCATGTCTCTACGTATATATTTCAATTTTCATATAGATGCCTTTTAATATACTTTAGACGCAGGGTCTGAAAGAAAAATTCATCTATTTATTTTTTATTTCCATTTTACGTTTTTGTTAGTTGCGTCCTTATTTATTATGATGGCAGAATGTAACCCGGCCGGCTGGTGTCGCCTCAGTGGCGCAGTAGGTTTCGTAGTAGTAGGTAGTTCCGTGTTGATTTTGTACACGCGTGCGCGAGCGACAGTTCAATCGTTTTGTTTATTAAATTGTTATTACTTGTGATTACATGTTAGTATTATTCTTGTTGTTACGTTTTTTTGTAATTTGGTATAAACCTTCTATAAGAATTGTATAGACTTAAAAAGGCCCTTAATTGTTTAATCTTCTTAGGTGCTGGAAACTCTTGGATCGCTCGAATCTTATCGGGATCTGTCTTTATGCCTTCTGTTGAAATTATAAAACCCAGCATTTCAAATTCTTTACAAATAAATTCACATTTCTGCAAGTTACAAGTTAAGCCAGCTTTGTTCAATTTACTTAAAACAATATCAATGTGCTCCAAATGTTTATCTAACGTTCCTGTTGTAATAATGGCTAGATCATCTAAATACGAGTAGTTCACACAAAATTCTTGGACTTCTGGTCCTAATATTAAATTCATGGCTCTGCTAACGCTTCTTACTGATGTTTTTAATCCTTGCGGCAAAACATTATATACATATGACTTTCCATTGAATGTGAATCCAGTATATTTTCTACCATCTTTATTTATCGAAATTTGAAAATATGCATTATTTAAGTCAATGGTAGTGATATAATTCGCTCCGTGAAATAAATTCAAAACATCTAATTGTATAGATGGTTTCTCTGTTTCTGCAACCATTTTCTTATTTATGCTTCTGGCATCAAGCAGAACTCTAATTGAGTCGTCTTTTTTAAGAGTGAATGTCAATGGACTACTGTAAGGCGTTGATGTCCTTGTGATGATACCAGCTTGTTCCATTTCATTTAACTTTTCTTCCATTTTCGCTCTATATGCATATGGAATGGGATAGGACCTAGTAACTATAGGTTCATCATCGATCATTTCAATTGTATGCTCATAGCAATTGGCTCTTCCCAATTTGCTCGAAAACATATTCTTATGCTTTTCCAAAACCTTACTAAGTTTTGCCCTTTCAGAGACCTCCAATGTAGATCCTATTTTTATATTTATTAAGGGATCATCGGTACATTGTTTGATGCACTTATTATGTAATACAGATTTATTATTATATTTGAAAGGTATAAAGTAGTCTTTGTTTTTCACTTTAAATTCTATTCCAACAGTAGTATTTCTCAAATCAATCAATATTTTATTTCTCTTGAGCCAGTCAAAGCCTAATATTAAAGGGCTTATTAAATTACCTACAATTAAAGTTTGTGTTTCAAAGACTACTTCATCTATCTTTATAGGCAATATGATCATCTGTTGTATTTTTGTGCTGCACTGCCCAACAGCACCTTTTATTTTCATTGTTTTAATTGGTATTATTGATATTTTACGATTATTATCTTTAATTTGTAAATATAAACTTTCTGAAATGCATGTAACATCGCTCCCAGTGTCGAGGAGCGCGTCTATTTCTTTGTCAAATATTGAAACTTTAATTTCAGATCTCATATTCCCTATAAATTCCCTTTGATATTTATCTTCGTCTTCCTCGAAGACGGGTTGCACGAATAACTCCGTTATGGGCAAGTCCGACCTAGCTTTTAAGGTGTTTAATATGCTATTTACATTGTCGTTATAACCAAGGCCTTCTCTGTTAAAATTTGCTTTTAAAGTAGTAGGTTTTCGCAACCCTCTATTGTTTTTACCCAATGTTTGACCAGGTCGCCAACCCAGTTTTAATAACATATTTAATGCTTTGTTCCCTTTTACATTGCAAGGGGTCGAATCGGGAACTAGTTCGACCTCTACAGCTCTAAATTTGGCTCAGGGTCCGTAACATCAGGTTGGTCATTAGTGAAATGTATTTCACGTACTTCATTAACCTTCTTTTTTCCCTCTTCGGGTTTACGCCATGTTTTGTATGATTGTTGTATTTCTTTATGTTTTTGCTCCGTATTATTATTAAAATTCCTCCTTTTCTCATTATAGTAAGGTTCACGACCTTCATCTTGTTTGTCGATGTCATCTAAGTTTCTTAAGAAATCTGTCGTGTCTATTATTGTCCCAATTTTAGCTATTCTCCATAATTGCTGCACAGTTTTAGGATAATGTCTGATGACATCAGTTACTAATTGTTTTTCAGGTATCGGATATGATAATTATTGTGCCTTCTCAACCACATAAAGAAAATAACTAACCATGGTGGGGTGTGTACTTCTATTCCATTTATTTTGCACAAGGAATCTCTTTACTTTATTTTGTTCTTCTTCACCCCAAAACACTCTTAGGAAGTCAGCTTTAAAATCATCAAAAGTTGTCCAACGCACATTATTAATGCGAGCCCAATACCTGGCTTCACCTACTAAGCACTCTTGTGCAATCGAAATTTCGAGACCATTAGATGGAACTTCTTTTAATATTTAAGCCCCACCCTCAGACTCTCAACCACCCCCAGCAAACACCACTCTCCAAGACACCTCTCCATTTCACGGACAACAAATTGTAGGCATATAGCCTACCTCATAATTTTATATTACCGGCCTCCTATTTAAAATTTAACCTCTATCCTGGTCACGGCACCAAATTGTAACGAACCCCCCCCCCCCCATCTTTTTTCTTTTCTACTATATATCCACTTATACTTGTATTTCTTTAGAATCAAATACCAGTTACAAGGGCTTCGCTCTCCCACATTTAAAAAAAAATGTGGAGGAGGTACACGGCCCCACACACACCGCGCACGGTGAGCGCCAACCATTTTAATGCGCTCCCCCCGAAGGATACGCAAAGTTGGGAACTGGACCGTAGTCCACAGCAAAATAACTGGCGAACCAGTAAAAGAGGACTTGGCCCCTTGATAGTGCGTAAGCACAAACATCGACCGAAGTCGCGCATGTCAATGCGTGTAAACGCCATACAGAGTACGATCAAATCCAGCCACAGTGAATGTACGTCACACGGGTTAGGCAACAATAGGCACACTGACCATAAAAAGCCTTCCGTGAGCGCCACCACCTGCCAGACCGCCGTTCCTGCAGACGTGATGTAAGTGTAAGGCATCACCACCAATTGCATGGTCAGCACGGCCAATTGGCCGCAGAGCGTGTCATGAGTCTACCGCTCACCTCAAGGGAATGGGGTCCCACGTTGCGCGGCTTTCGGCCGCAGCCTTGAGAGCCTCCTCAGATTCTCCCTCCAGCTACCACCCGCATGAGGTCAACACATATGCTCCACCAACCAATACAATGGCAGATATAGCCAATAGGCAGTTATAAGATAATATTAATAATTCGCCATCAGAAAGGGTTTGTGTCACTGACGTTGAGTATATGCATTTTTCGATCATGTTTGTCTCACCCACCAACAAGTTGCCTTCAATCTCTCAAAAGTGGGAACTTTATAGAGATATATTATTAAGTTGTTATATAAAACATCATGAAGGGCAGACAGTCTGCGGCCCCGCAATGAAGGGAACCGACTTGGGCAAAGCTACTTAGGTTGTGAGTCAAACCAAGACGCAGAGAGCGCCATTGAGAATAGCGACCCGCCAAACAACCATCGCAGAGACGCAATGCTGCAGAATACAACAAGCATCAATACGACTATCGTCGGGCTTACACCATCCCAAGGTCCCCCATACAGTCCCAGCAGACATCACCACCCGCATACCTCCATCGACCAGAACCACAAGATGCATCGAATCAGGTGCAGCACACCCGCAGACCCATCACAAGACACAATACTGCAAGTAGCAGTAAGCATCAATGCAACTATCATACGGATGGCGCCCCCTCACAACACACCCACATGATCCCTATCGACTTTGGTATCAAAACTTGATAATGTTGTTAACTAAAAATACTACCAACGTATTGTAGTAGTACGGTACTAAGACGTCAGTAGCCAAAACTCCACGTGTCATAGCGCTATCGCGCTAAGACATGAAGTTGAGTATACTTCCTGCACTTAAAAGTACTACCAAACACACTCACCCTAATCCGAAAGATAGCCGACGTATCATAACGCTATGCGCTAAGACGCCGCCCACAACCGGTAGGGGTGTGCGATGTCCACGGGCAAGTCGTGTTGCTACAACAAACCCGCTTACCACCGGCACTAAGATGATATGTCTAGGACACATCGGTTAGTGAGTCCAAGTTTACCTCGGTCTCAGAGGCTGCAAAGCAACCTAAACGCCACTATAATAATCCTTTCCAAGTCCAATTTCCTTCAATATAATGCTTTTACATATTTGAGACCTTCCACATATTTGCTTTATTTCATAGACCATACTATTGTATGTCTTATTCATATGGGACTTCAAGTCATAACTCTGCTATCATAATGCTTATGCATCATAGAGACCTCCTATATTAATGCTTTGGTTCGTCAGACCTTACTATGTTAAGTCCCTAATTTAGGACTAGTCATTGTGCAACCTTAGTACTAGCAGTCTGTCAGCCGACCACCCCGTATATATGTACAACCTTGGGTATGTGTCTCCGACAACGCCCCAATATAAGGGAACATTACAAGAACACGTTCATTAACTTAGAAAATTTTAATCCATTTTTCTATTATATTACAAATGTTATTTATCTTTGTTATTGCAATATAATCGCCTTGTATTTATATGATTTGATACATTTTTAACATTTTAAGCAGGTTTTTAATAAATTTAGAGATTTTTAGAGTCATTTTATGCGTTTACTAATAGATATAATATTCAATATTCCAAATGGATATTTTTGAACTCTATGCTTATTATTTGCATTTTATTGTTTAAATTATAATTTCTATGACATTTTTAAATGTGAAATGTATTTCATTATTATTTATTAATAATAATTAAGTATCTGGGCATTTAATTTACACCATCTATCCGCTAAATATAGAACAAGCACCTTTACATGCAGCTGTGGAAAAATATGAGGAGACATGATGTGTTCCTTGAATTTCGTATAAAATGCAACTTTGATTTATAAGAACAATGTTTGAAAAACCTCCTACATTGAAAAATAAAGTCTCAATCGTACTTCAAAATGCATCACATTTCTTAAAGACCAAAGAAAAGTAAAAAGAAAGATTAATCCGCGTGGAACAAAGTAAATTCTGTAGTTTTAATGGCTAGCTAACTTTATTTTGCTATCTCAACTTTATTTAGTTAGACTTGTAGTGATGATGTGTTAAATATTACCTGACATGGCCATGGATTAAATTATCGACTCATAATTCAAAAATCCTACAGCTTTCAATCAAAAAATATTTTAAAAATAGAAATGAAAAAAAAATCTTTTTGTAACCCAAAAGCAAGTAAACTCATCTTAATGCATACTTCTAGGAATGTTAATTTTTACGAGGACGTGATATAATCCCAATCATCGAAATTGATACATAAAAAAAGTCGATGCTTCTGGCAAGATTAAATGGCTCCTCGTAGAAAACTTTAGGAAACTGAACGTAAAAACCATTAACGACAAATATCCTATCCCAAATATATCGGATGTACTAAAAAAGTTAGAAAATTTCCAATATTTCACAATTAAGGACTTAGCCAGTGGATTTGCCCAGGTCCAAATGAATTCTAGTAAAATCCCGAAAAATCTACGATATCGACAATTTTTCTTCATCTTATGGAACTACAATAAGAAGTAAATGATTTAAAGCTTGAATTTTATTTTCTCATGAACGGAATCCAAAACAAAAAAAAAATATGAGTGTAATTCTACAACATGTCATTACTAGATACACCTACGCTACACCGTTACGTATAATTATATGAACGATAACATCATAAGCGTTGACGCAAGTATGCCTATATATTTGCGTCATATCATATTTATACACATTTGAGTTGGTATTTTAAGTAA